CGGCTAGTTTCATATAGCAATCGTGTTATTGAGTTTTATTATTTTTTATTTTCTTTATTTCAAAATGCGTAAAAGTTCCTATAGATCGTAGAACAATTACGGCTGCGCAGTGCACACTGGTCTTGTTATATCTGATAGTGTCAGAATTGATGTCTCTTTGAATGTGTTAGAAAAATTATGTGAACTCATACATTAACTCTATAGCACCTTTACCGCAATAATGAGAATCTAATGACGCCGCAAAACATTTCATTTTCATGAAGTTATACCTTATCTATATCGTTTATACAGCTATGCCTAAGATGCTCGGCACTGCCGACTGTAAATCCTTGACATAGTTGTATAAACGATATACGAGGTGTGTCAATGAGTCTTTACAAAAAGAAGGAAAGAAAAGTTTTGCGTACGTATTTTTTTTTTTTTTTTTTCAACATAATCTCCTTGAAGGTCGATACATTTTACTAAACGGCCTTTCAGTTTTTTTAAGCCATCAGAAAAATATGATTTCTGAAAACCCTCAAAATAGCCATTTGTTTCGGCGATGACTTCTTCATTCGACGTGAATCGTTGTCCGACAAGCCATTTTTTGAGGTTAGGAAATAAGAAAAAGTCACTGGGAGTCAAATCAGGCGAATATGGTGGATGGTCAATTAATTCCAACTTTAAATCGTTAATTTTTGCCATCGAAACTGCACACGTGTGAACTCGAGCATTGTCTTGAAGAAAGTGGCATTTTTTTGTTCAAGTGAAGACGTTTTTCTCTGATTTTTTCTTTCAGCTAACCTAATAATGACGCATAATATTGTCCAGTGATCGTCTGGCCCTTTTCCAAGTAGTCGATGTAGATGATTTCATACGCATCCCAGAAAACCGTGGCCATAATCTTGCCAGCTGACTTTACTGTCTTCACCTTCTTTGGCGCTGGTTCTCCTGCGGTAATCCATTGTTTGGACTGTTCCTTGGTTGCAGAAGTGTAGTAGTGTATCCATGTTTCGTCTACAGTTACGAGTCGACGCCAAAAGTCTTCCAGATTACGACGTATACGTGCCAAAAGAGCCTCAGAGGTGACCACGCAGGTTCGTTAGTTTTTAACAGTGAGCAAACGCGACACCCAGCTTGCTGATATTTTTTTCATCCCCAATTTTTCATGCAAAATTGAAATGATTGTACCCTTTGATACTCCTGTGGCCTCAACTAATTCTCGCAATTTTAATCTTCTATCACTCAACGCCATATTGTGGATTTTGTTGACCATTTTGGGCGTACTCACTTCTACGGGGCGTCCTGGACGAGGTTCATCTTTTGTTGTTGTACTGCCGCGTTTAAATTCATTTACCCAGTTAGAAACAGTCTTAAACACAGGGGCGGACTGGCCATGAACGGCGTTCAACTCAACTGTGATTTATTTTAGTGTAAGGCCTTTTAAATGAAAATGTTTTATCATCGCTCGAAACTCTGTTTTTCCATTTTTCAAATAAACCAATAACTATTTGTTCAACCAACGCACACAAAAAAACGACTTAATGAATCGAGCTGAAACTTTGTACGATATCTAATTAGTAGTATTGCTTGCCAAAAACATCATAATTCAAGCGTGACGAGCGCCATCTCTTGGATTTTGTAAAGACTTATTGACCCCCCCCCCCCTTATAGATACGATACGACTTCATGAAAATGAAATTTTTTGTTGCGCCAACGGATTCTCATCACTGCTGCTCATGGAAACTATGTAGTCTCCATGCTACTGCTCCACCGGTTTCTGCACACTATAGACTTATGCTAACTCTTCAACTCTGTAGCGATATACTAGCGTCCTCCTACCCCCCTTACCCTAGCCTGCAATGTGTAATGGACAGTGCAAAAAAAATACCATTTGAAATATCTAATTAAACCGTCCAAAAATGCTCATTATTTTAATTGAACCCCTTCAGTTGTCCCAAAAAAAATTAAAAACTATGATAATTGTTTCGTTTTTTGCAACTGCGATATTTTTAGTAATAGTTAATATTTTTGCAAGGAAACAAGGCGAAAAAATGTAACCCTCGCCCGTTTTAATTGTACCCCTTGTTTGATTTTGACTTATAAATTAATAATTTTGAAAAAGTAAGAGGGGTGCAATTAAAAAGAACAAGGGTTCAATTTTTTCGCCTTGTTTCTTTGCAAAAATATTAACTCTTACTAAAGATATCGCAGTTGCAAAAAGCGAAAATATTATCATAGTTTTTAATTTTTTTTGGGACAACTGAAGGGGTTCAATTAAAATAATCAGCGTTTTTGGAGGGTTGGGTTCAATTAGAGATATTTCGAATGGTATTTTTTATTTTCACTGTCCATTACACTTTGCAGGCTAGGATAAGGGGGGTCGTCCTCCTTCGCTCTCCAAGCTATATGCTATACGCTAACTCTACAAGGCCCCGCATACTGTAAACTTATGCTACGCTCTGACATCACATTATTACCTAGCTGATTATACTGATCAATCTATATACATAGTGTGAAGAATCAATCTATAGATAAGTGATCGTCATTACAATTTAATGTTATCTGGTAACTCTCATCGCTGTAGACGTTACACTATAGACATTGATCTCGCCACACGGATATCAAGCTTTCATTAATAATGAGACTAATCAATAATACTACCACTGACGAACATATACATAGTTAATTATTGCAATTGATACTGCTATCAATTTCGCGCCAGCTCTCATCATATCAGTGACGTTAGCCGCCAGCATGAATATAGTTAGCTATACTACTACAGCCCTCTCCAAGGTAGCAACTATACGAAGCAATTAGAGACCCCCCTTACCCTAGCCTGCAAAGTGTAATGGACAGTGAAAAAAAAAATACCATTTGAAACATCTCTAATTGAACCCTCCAAAAATGCTCAATATTTTAATTGAACCCCTTCAGTTGTCCCAAAAAAAATTAAAAACTATGATGATTTTTTCGTTTTTTGCAACTGCGATATCTTTAGTAATACTTAATATTTTTGCAAAAGAAACAAGGCAAAAAATTGAACCTTTGGTCGTTTTAATTGCACCCCTCTCACTTTTTCAAAATTATTAATATATATGTCAAAAATAACAATCTAACTTTATTGTATGTTCTTTCCAAATAACCCAATAACCTAATAATCTATTTGAAAAGAACATACAATAAAGTTAGATTGTTGTTTTTGACATATATATTAATAATTTTGCTTATTATTATATATTAATAAATTGCCTTGTTTCTTTTACAAAAATATTAAGTATTACTAAGGATATCGCAGTTGCAAAAAACGAAAAAATTATCATAGTTAAAATTTTTTTTTGGGATAACTGAAGGGGTTCAATTAAAATAATGAGCATTTTTGGAGGGTTTAATTAGATATTTCAAATGGTATTTTTTATTTTTACTGTCCATTACACTTTGCAGGCTAGGGTAAGGGAGGTCAATTAGAGGAAAGAAAAATTGGAGAAAGAGTATGACATAGTATAAGAATAATACGATACATTTCAGAGAATAATGTTAAAAGTAATTCAATAGTAATGAAAGAAATCGCACATTTTCATTTATATTAGATTACGAATTAATTTAATTAAAAATAATTGAATTTTGATACTCATTTACTGAAAATTATTCATTTTATCAAAAATTGATTGAATATTAATAAAATTTAATAAATTTCAAAAAATATTAATGAAATATTTTTAGAAGAGAACCTAACAAATTAAAAGTTCCATGACATTTATCAAACTATCAAGTATTGAAAAAATCAACAAAGCAAACTATTAACTCATATGAAAATAATATTATGCTTTCCAAAAATTACTAATAACCTTTTGAGTAACTGTCAACAATCAAACTGATTTCACACTTTGTTTTACATCAATCAATTACAATGATGGGTTATCGACAACTCATTCTTTTTTTAGGAAAACAAAGTAAAAGCATTTACATGAGTAATAAAAAATTTTTGTAAATAAGTGCATGTAAATCTAATTGATGCCATATTTACCAGAGGATATGAATTACTTGAGAAAGTAAATTTATAGAACTTTACAAAACAAAAAATTTACACAATATTGAGTTAAGAAATTGTAATTACATTTGAAATATAAGGTATAAAAAACGTAATTTATTTTATTTATATGTATTTTTCTATAAAATGGACAAAACTGAGAAAATCAGAAAAGAGTTAAGATTCATAAGAGTTACTGAAATTCATAAATATTCATATGTAGATACTAAGAAAACTAAACAAATCTCTGTGTTAGATCTATAAAGACGGTATGACAACTAACTACAAAAGTTGAATTTTACTTTCTAGATTTATAAATAAGAAAGTCAAAAGGCTAAGAGAACTGCTCAGAGGAAAGCTAGATGGCTTACTTCATCAAATCAGTCATGTATAGCTATGTAAATAAAAACCCTAGAATTCTAAGAACTAATAAAGTATGTTATAATTTCAAAGCTAACTAAATTATTTATTAATAAATCATTTTTATAAAGGCAAAAAAATTAGTTTAATATTTTAACTATATTATTAGAGAATAATATTAGTCAACATGTTTTGATTAAATACTGCATACATATCATTGGACAAAATATCCAGTTTATTTTTTCTATAATGTGTTGATAACCTTTCAAACAAAACTAAAAATACAATAAATTGAGAGTAACAGTTTTTTTTTTAAATAATTGGGTACAAAATATGTACTTCCACATAATCAAAAGAATCAGATTAATGGTTGGATTTTAATTTTGAGTTGGATATGTAAGCAATGAATATTACCTGGGTCACTTATAAAATACAGACACAGTTTAAATACGTATCAAAACTGAAAACCAAGCTCTGTTAGAATTTTTATTTCCTAATCAATTTATACAAAGTTTATTTTCAAACCACAAAATTGTTATCTTAATTTCATTTCGGCATTTTGGCAAAATTTAAAATGTGGTTTCAGGTATTTTTTTAAATAGATAGAATTTAATTTTTACTGTAAAATTACCTTCTTGACCAAAAGTATCAGGACTTGTTATATTGTATAATATCTCCAATGCTAATCCAACAATTTCATAGTTAGTTTTATCCATGTCCAAAATTTGTTTCAATGCCTCCATACCATGAGCACCTACTTCAACTCTATACGTTCGAGAAAGTGCTTTTAATGCTCGACAAGCATCTCTTCTATCATTTAATAATGTTGAAGAAGCTACTCTGTCTATAAGTCGTTCTACCTAATTATTTGCAAATAAAACTAAACTGTGTAGATGCATAACAAGAAAAGAAAATGATTTTATTATATTATAATAATTCAACTTTCTCACAGTTTCTGCACCAGTTGGTTGATTCTCCAGATTAGAAGTACCCAGAACTGACTTTAGACCACTTTTAAAAAATTCCATGATAAAAATTTGATTGATTTAATTCCTTAGTTTGAACATATTCTGTGATTCAAATCATTACATACATATATATACAAGGAAATTTACAGTAGTTATTTCATGTTGAATACAATATTCAATTTATCATTTCATAAGTGCAATATAAAACTCCATTAACTTGCTGTAGAAAAGTATCAAAATGACTGTTTTTTTAAATTACTGAGCCAAAAAGTGAACTTATCAATCAATTATAATAAATTTAATTTATATATTTATTATTATATATTGATATAAAAAAGTACTCTGTAAGTATTTACAAAACGATTCTGACTCTTATAAATGACACGAATTATGATATCAAACAATATTTGTAGATTGAAAAATACTCAGAATATTTAAATAACGATTTCAGCAACATTATTATAAAAAAATTATAATAATAGAATATTTTAATGATTTTTGTTTAAACGTAGGCTTCACACACAAAAAACTCAAAATGACGTATAACCACTGGGGTTGTCATTTATATAATTTAAAAATTAAAAATATACATATTGTGAAAAGTTCTTGGATATATGTTAATATTTATATTGAGATAATAAAACATTAATAATTTATTAAACTTCATAAATTAAACCGCTTCAAACAGCTCAAGCTCTGATACGCTTAAAAACATGGCGTTTTATACATATATGACGTATGTCAATTCAGAATTCATGCATTTGGGTGTTCACAGAAGGAATCTAACACTCACGAAATGACACGAATTCTGACATATGGAATGTACGTAATACGTTGTTATTCAGCTAAAAAATATTCGAGATGTTTAAATTAGCATCTTATAAACACAATAATAGCAATAGAATACATATAACAACTTTCCGCAAAATGTTAGTCTTTAAATCATATATATGACACGAAGAAAGCGGTTATCCATGTCATTCTGTGTAATTTGAAATCTGCGCTCACACAAAAATTATTAAGATATTTTATTATCATAATTGATACTTAAGAATGCTACTGAGATGATTATTTAAACATTCCGAGAGTTTTTCAAGCTAAAATATCCTTTTATGGATATTTGTCATGTCAGAATTCGTGTCATTTCATGAGTGTCAGATTCCTTCTGTGACATGGAGACTATATATACAGGAGTGGAAGCACCATGAAGACTGTATAAAGGAGAGGTAGCGCCATGTATAAGAATTTCCGGCTAGTCCCGAGCCTCAGCCAAGCACTGACCCTCTACCCCCAGCGCCTCTCTCGGTGACCAGACCACGCGAGATACCGCGTTACCGACGCGACCTGTCCCAAAGAGAATTGCATAGTCGAGATCATTATTTGAAAGAAAGATTATTGATGAAAATTTATGTGTAACAATTCGCTTGAGATCGAATGCATGACATTATAAGTAATTATAATTACTAAAACTTAAGCCCCTTTTCCCTTGATGAACTTGTACGATATTCATGTCAACGTCGCTGTCTTGTCACGGTAGCTGCGGTAGCTAAGGCGTCCGTATGATTTTGCGATCGCAGGTTCAAATCACGTTTTTTTTATTTTTTTTATTTCTATGGATTTTTGTTGATCAGTTGGTGCAATAAATAAAAATGAAGTTTATTTATTTTACTTACTATAATTAATTGTATTATTCCCTAAGCAAAACACTATTTTTATCTATACTTATTTATTGCTTGGATCTATTTCTACTAAACATAATTCATTTCCATACGATATAAATAAATATGTAAAAAAATAAATATGTAAATAACCATTTTCCCGAAATTATTGTCTAAATGCCAGTGGTATTTCTTCCAAAGACAACAATTTTACGGCATACTCATCAAGTAATATAAATGAGCAGGCGACACAGGTAAGAAGCCTCAGTGTTTGACACTGTAAAGCATTGTATTGTTATGTTATGTAAAAAGAAATCGAAGCAATGAACATAACAGTAGTGTATGACGTAGTGAATAGTATAATTCATTTTTTGTAATTAAAAGTAGTATTTGTAATTATTTATTGATATGAAAGATACGTAAAATACACCATTCTTTTTAACATTTATGTTATATTATGTTAATTCATTTTTATAATTATAAATAGTATTTGTAATTGTTTATTGATATGAAGGATACGTAAAATATACCATTCTTTTTAACATTTATGTTATATTATGATAAGTAGTCATTGAATTTCCATAAAATATGTACTTATTCATTTATGCATAGTGAATAATTTAATTAATTATAGTAAGTAATATAAATAAACTTGATCGTTATTTATTGTGTCAACTGATCAACAAAAATCCACAGAAATAAAAAAAAAATTAAAAAAAAATAAACAAAATGTGATTTGAACCTGCGATCGCAAAATTATACGGACTCCTTAGCTACCGCAGCTACCATGACAAGACAGCGACGTTGACATGAATATCGTACAAGTTCATCAAGGGAAAAGGGGCTTAAGTTTTAGTAATTATAATTACTTATAATGTCATGCATTCGATCTCAAGCGAATTGTTACACATAAATTTTCATCAATAATCTTTCTTTCAAATAATGATCTCGACTATGCAAATGAAGGATAATGCCGTACCTCTAAGAGATGTAAGCTCAGTGGTGAGTAAATAATTTTGTCTACCTGTTATTGTTCCGCTGTCTCTTTTGAATATTAAAATTAATAAGTTTATTCCAACAAATATTTCTTTTAGTATGAAGCAAGAAACGCACAAGAACTTGAGTATCGCGTAAACAGGATAAAAACATTCCAAGCGCCTTACCAGCAGGTAACAAATGAAAAATTGAAAGTACCTCATGTCAGCAGTGTTAATATTGTGTCGCAAGATGTACAAATGGAAGAAGTCACGGCTTTTCGAACCAGCACTATTAATCAAGAGGATTTTCAGATGGATGTTGAATACGCTGTCGATAAAGTAAGTACATGAATTTATAATTGTTATTTTATATTTTATATATTTACAAAACAATACATTAATTTATCGATGAAAAATTTGTAGGGTATCACCAGCAACCATTTTACAACTAGCACGCAGTTGAATAATTCTGACGTCAATTTTAGCGTACTGGATATAGTGCGAATTCTGAAAAAGACTCATCTGAGACAAAATTGGACTTGGGGGGAAAAAGATAACAACATTTTTTTTACACTTACTGATTTCAACCTACTCGCAGTAAGGTGTTGTTTACAAGTACATTCAAATATGAATGTAACAGTTGAGTTTTTTTAACATTTTCAAAATTTTAAAATATTATATTATATAAAATTATTAATTTGTTATCTTACTTTTCCAGATTTTGCTGTCTGACAAATAAAAGGTGGCTAATTTTTCAAGAGTAACCGTAATTACATCATTTGAAGATATAATTCAGATTTTACAATATTTAGAAGATCAATATTTATGTCTGGGCACTGGTATTTCGCAAAAAAGGTATTGTTATGAAAAAATAAACTATCAACTCTCGGTAAATGTAAAAACTATTTGGACAATAAAGAATATTTCTTTTTCTTTTTCCCAGCCGAGCTGACACTTGTTCCATTAATGATAACATCGGAGGAAGGTGTACAATTTGTTTGAGAGAAAAAATTAAATTAGAAAACAGTAAATTATCTATTGAGAAGAAATATAGTGATTTATTGAAAAGCAACAAATCTTTGCAGAAAAAGTACGATTATTGCAGTAAAAAGGTAATGCTTTACTTAATTAATTTTTGCAAGTATTTAAATATGTCTATTTTAATTTATATATTTTATTTTGGTTTTTAGCTTGACGAGGCGAGAAATCGAATCATCCAGCTGGAAGAAGAAATCATCAACTTGCAAAAAAACTGGGAGAACAACATTTTGTACCAATTGCCCGATATCCAACAAGAAATTGTTGGCATGTTTGTAAAATTTGCAAGCTTGGAAAAAAATCGAATCCGTTATTCTCGCGAATAGATGTGTGATTGTTTTATCATGCATACGAAAAGTAGTGCTTTGTACGAATTTATGAGAGAACGAGGCATTCTCCCTCTTCCTAGTCCAAATACTCTCAAAACTCAAACAGGTGCCATTAATACAAATTATGGTTTTCACGATGTAGTTTTTGAGAGTTTAAAAAGGCAGGCAGATGTTTTACAAAACCATGAAAAAAGAGGTAATGTATAATTTTTGTGAAACGTGTTTGATGTACCATATCAATGTATATACCTATATAAATCCTATATACCTTTTTATATATACCTTTTTATATTTACCTTTTTATATATACCTTTTTATATATACCTTTTTATATTATATTAACATATTTATTTTGTTTTTAGGGATTATATTGGCAGACGAAATGGCTCTTAGTGAGATTATTGCCCTTGATAAAAATTGGCTAGTACAAGGATATACCGACTACGGACTCTGGACACCTCATAGCTTACAGAACACGCAAGCTAACAAAGCCCTTTGTTTAGTGTTCAAGCCCTTTATTGGATCGTGGATGCAGGTAAGAGAAATTGGAATTTTCATAAACGTTTTATCTGTTTCGTCTGCAATTCAAATAAATGAAATATTATGTTACAGCCAATAGGAGCTTTTGCCGCAAGCAACACTACTAGTGACATATTAGATAATTTACTAGTAGAGGCTATAGCACGTGTCGAGAAAACAGGTTTGAAAGTAGATGCGATTGGAATGGATGCTGCAAACGTCAATCGAAAAGTATGGACTAGTAAGGGTATTGACGAAAATATTGTAAGCTGCAGACATCCGATAAATCACATACGAAGACTATGGTTTATTTCAGATCCATCGCATCTATGGAAAAACTTACGCAATCTTATTATGAAGCTGCTTGAGTTTTGGGTAAATATTTTTAAATTTCTTTTATTTTTATCATAATGTTTATAACAATGTTATATTTATTTTTCTTTTAATATCTGAACTAATTATAATGAAAGCGTATGTATTTTTTTAGACTCCTGATGGCTGGGTAAAAAAAGCTCATTGGCAAGCTGTTTTAGACCATGAATCATTTCTTCAGTATAACTTGAAAATTGCCTACTTTTTGACGCCAGATCATCTTAATCCTCAAGGTTATATGTCGATGAACGTTCTCATGGCTATGCAGGTAAAAACTAATTATAATTATTTACGCTAAATTAATTTTGTTATAGTTCTTTTTTAAATAAAAATAATATTGGGAGTACAAATAGAAAACCGCCGTTTTCCCATAGGTGGCGTCAGTATTGCACGTCGGTAAAAAATTGTTAACAGGAACGTTACATAGCCAGCTGAGGCATTTGTCAACAACTCTTCATCACCTCGCTTGTCTATTTTTACTGTGCTTTGTTTTGTTCGTG